TTTATAACGTTAAAGTTTTGTAATTTTTAATGTTATTTTAAAAATTCATATAAAATAAATAAAATTTAAGTAATTTTATCAAAATGATTATGTTAATATAAAAAATAAAGTGAATCTAAATGATGTGATAAAAAAACATAACCACTCAAGGTGACAATTGATCAAGTAAAGAAATATATATATATAAGTGGAAGAGGGAATTTCATTTCCAGCATGAAAAAATTTGAGATGGGGTATGATTGGACCAGGACAAAAAAGATGTCCGTATGGGACGAGAAACATGATGATTATCGTATTTTATTTATTTTAAAATTAACTTTTCTAATATTTTTTACTTTTCTAGTATTTTTATTGCTTGTAATTTATGGTTGCTTATTTGTGTTGTTTACATAAATAAATTATGTAATTTGACAAAATATTGTGTTTAGCTTAAATAAATTATGTTTATTTCTATTGTGGTTAATATTAGTTTTATTGCTTCCTTTATAAGATTCATGTTTTCTATTAGTTTGTTGTTAAGTGTATTTAAACTTCAAACTTAAGGAAATATATTGATTTTTTAGTTTGCAAGATAATATATTTTGTGTTAGTTTTACATGAACTCTCATTATTTTATATCTTGAAGAGATTGTTGAATGATGATACTTTAAAATGAATGAATTTTTATTAAAAAAAAAGTGAAAAAAAATGCTTGACTACTTAGGATTTAAAGATATGAATATTGTTAAAATGACTAGTTGATTAGTTCTTCATTATTTTTCTTTTTTTTTATTTTTACCCTCTCTCTTTTACCTTGATTAGTTTTTGAAGATATATTACACAGTTATTATATTACATAATTATAGTCATAACCATTCAATATATCATTTGGATTATGCAATGGATGCTTTTTAAGAACGATTCAATATTGGATTTCAAATATTCCACAGTCCTCGCAACCGTCTAATATTAATTTTTTAAATGTATGACAGCCGTGGCCAATGAGCTAAAATAATCCAATATAATCTTTTTTTTATAATAGTGATTTTTCATTTCTTCTATTTTCACCCTCTCTCTTTTACCTTAATTTTTCGGTCTCAATGCCAAATGAGATGGAACCACCTCCAAGGTAGACAAGAAATGGGATTAAAATCTAATCCAGCCCTCTTTTCCAAATAAGACGTGAAATAGGGCTGTGTCAATTCTATCTCGTCCGTGTAAGCCCTAGCATTGCGTGCTAATCTCATTTTTATTAAATATTTTTTTTTAATTTTAAATTATACGATACTTTTAAAAAGATTTAACATTCAAAAATATAAAACATTTTTTAAAAAATTAATATTTTATTAAATAGACTTATTCTAATATTATATTTTTTCTCTCTATTTAATTTTCACCCTTCTCTCTTTTCAATATACTAGTAAATGAAATTATTAAGTGTATTTTTATAAATTTATATTTATATTTTAAAAAAATAAATTATTAAGTGTATTTAATAAATTTGATTAATGTACAAGTTTTTTTTAAAGTAATTTTTAATTAAAAATAGAGGGTGGATAAAAAAATAAGAAAAAAAAATAAAAGACAACGAGGCAATCAATTTTTGGCGAGCAACAAAATGGGACCGAAAAACAAACTTCCTACGAGACAATGATGTATGAGCTGGGACCACAAAGGCAATTAATTGAAAACTCAGTAGACTACCACGTACCAGACTTTTATACGCTATCATTAACTCAACTTTTTCTTTCGTTTTTTTTTTTTTTGGAAAAAAAAGGTTGTTAATGACATTTGGTGCAAGATAAAAAAGTTGTTAATCTCTTAGCGGTCCGATTGGCAACCGACAGCGGCACATGTTCAATCAATGTTTACATAAATAAGAAGCCATTAATAAAAAATTAAGAAAAGTGCATTACAATTTCTTTATTGGCGCTTAAAGATGGAACAAAAGGCAAATGGGGGACCAACTCCTTTGGGGAAATTACATCTATGAACCCATAAATTAAGAAAATTGAGGTAAAAATTATTATGAATGATATTACTATTAATTTTTTAAAATACTAATATATTTCAGGGTGAGAGAGTAAATTGATCATAAATTATAGATTTAGGAGTGTTTAGGATCCTAAATTTATTTTTTATACAATATTTCTCTTTAACTTTTAAAAACAACATAACCTTAACTCTATTGTTAATAAAAGTTTACTTTAATTTTAATTAATCATTAGTTGACTTTTCATTTATTGGTTTATTTTCATAATTAGTTATCCCTTTTCTATAATTATTTGATCAACTAACAGTTAAAATTAATTTTTATTAATGATAGTCATTAGATCATACTGTTTTAAAACATAGAAAGGAATATTACACAAAAGACAAGTTTAGAATTATAAATATTTCTGAACCTATAATTTAGAAATTAATTTATTCATTTACCTTAAAAAATATGTTATAATATTAAATGAGGGAGTAGATATATAAATATATAAATATTTGGGGTTTTTAAGTATAATTTTGTTCAAATCGTGTTGAATTACAACTCATTTACAGCTGAACGCTGCTCACCACCATGTTCTTGTGCAGAAAGGTGTTACATTTATTCAAGGATGGTTGTTGGTCGTTAAAGACAGCGCATAAGCACATGGTCCCCCTTTGAAAAATTGTGTTTTGGCCACAGACACCACCCAAAAAAAAAAAAAGTTGCGTATCTGTGTACGAGTGTGGTGTAGTTTTAGTCGTTTGCACTTCATGACTTAAAATGGTAGTAAAATTCAGAATCATCAAAAATAAGTCATGAAGTAGAAAGGACTAAAAAACTACATGCTCATAAATAGAACCGGACGGAGCTCATTTTCTCTTTTGCATTAAGATGAAGCTCATTTTGAGTATAATATTAGTTTGGATTCTATCATTTGATTTAATATTCTCACAAACTCAGGAGTATTATTATATTACCATTTACTAAACTAATTTGAGTTTTCACTATGTGAGACCATTATTATCAATGACAACCTTATAAGCAACTCAAAATATGTTTTTAACATATTTATTTAATATAATTGCACGTAGCATATCCTAGAACTTAAATTTGAGACTGCAGTATAATATTAATTTGGATTCTATTGTTTGGTATCCTTAAAAACTTGGGAGTATTATCATTATTTGCTAGACTAATTTAAAACTTCACCATATATGTGAAACTATTATTATTAACAATAGTCTTATAGTCAACTCAAAAGATGTTTTTAACATATTTATTTAATCCAACTGCATATAACATATCCCAAGATTTGAACTCAAGATTGTGCTATAATATTAGTTTGGATTCTATTGTTTGGTATCCTAAAAAACTTAAGAGTATTATCATCGTTTGCTAAACTAATTTGAACATTTGTTGTGTGGGACCATTATTATTAATAACGGTTTTATAGGTAACTCATGAAATGTTTTTGACATATTTATTAATACGTTTGCATACAACATATTCTAGGATTTGAACTTGAAATTGCAGAATAAATTAATTTAACTCTTTTAACCAGTTAAACTAAGTCTTAATACACATAATTAGAACTAAATATCGTTTATTGTGTGGTGTAATTAAGTAATTTTAGTCAACTGCCCACAATCGCTTAGAATGTTGGTAAAATTTACAGTGATGAGTTGTTTACAAATGAGCACTGTGGTTTAAAAATGATTACAACATCGCTGCTGATTACAACCTTTTCACTCGTAATGCTCTCCAGCGAGTTCGCACTTCAATCTCAGTGCAACTTATTATAAAAAAGCCCCAATTGCGAGCTTTCTTGACGTTACGTGCGTCCTATTTTAAGAATAAAGTAATCCCTTTAGATTCTTTCAAGTCCTTTAAATGTCATGGTTATCGTCTGCCTTAATTAAACAACTAATATGTGCATCCGCTTTCTCCACAATTTAAAGCCTATTATTTATACTTAATAGTTTATATCAATAAGAACACAAATTTTCATATATTATATTTGAATACCACAGATATTTAATATTATAAGGTATTTTAAATTTAATTACACTCTTTAATGAGTTTGTTAATTGTCTTGAAAATTGCATGCTTTTTTCAGGTTTATCCTTATTTAATATAATATCTTATTTAAAAAATATTATTAATTACATTCAAAATATTTTATATTTTTGAACATCTTATCTTAATAAGAATATATTATATTTTTAAATAGAGGAAATATATAGATTCATATATTTATTCCCATATATATTATCTTTTGACATGTAATTTGAAGATTTGGTAACAAAAAATAATGTAATTTGAGAAGAGGGGTTATTTAAGGTTGAGATGATGATGAAATTATCATGAAGTATTAGAAAAAACTTGATGAATTTTCATTGTAGCACAAAATTCATTAAGAATTAGATTTAATATAAATTACATATATATATATATATATGTATATATTTAATAATAATATTAAAAATAAATTATTATTACTGCTTAAAAAGTGAGGAGAGAAATTTTGGCAATTTGAGAAAAGAAAATTTGAGATTATGTGTGTGTATAAATTAACAGTAATTATCACTAAATTACATAGATCTTACAAATGTGAACGTAGATTGTTGTGAGGAGGAGAGATTCTTATCATTTAAGAGTTAAAATCTCAACTGACACATCTATAACATTTTAATTAGAGTGTTCTACCTTTTTTTTAATATAAAACATTTTTAATTTTTTAATACGTCATCAATGATATTTTTTTTTAAAATATGCTTAATAAATAAATAAATCAATCAATCAATTAACTTTTAAGTGAGAGACAAACATAAAAAGATTTTATATAATTAAAGATGATTAACTAAATTATTGAGATTATAAATTAATTAAAAATATTTTATATTTTTCAATCCTGGGCAAATATAAACTTTACTATTTGCAAATTAATTTCATATTTTTATTGAGGATCGAAAAACGAAAAATGCTAACATAAAAGCGGCCTTGAGAGACACCAAGTCAAGTCATTTTGCTTGTCAGCAGCAAATTAATAGGATGAGGGATCCGAATCGCACTTAAAGCTCAATAAAAATATGTTTCGCCGTGATTCAGACTCATGGCTCTGGTCAATCTTGTAATTTGAAGCTCCTCTCTCTGTTCCTTCCTTGTCCTTAGCGTTACGAACCCAAAAAGCTTCCAATAATGCGATTCCGCAGTGTTCCTTGGAGTAATCCATGATGATTCAAAAAGTCTTTCGAAGAAGCTTCTAATCAAACTATTATTCTACATCAGGTTTAATTTTTTTTTTTAATTCGAAGTCTAAATTTAGTTTACCAATCAGCCATTTCGGTGTAGGATCTAGTCTCGGCGTTTCGCACAAGAAATGAGTAGAATCTGCTGACTTCACAATACTCGTTGCTTTCAGAACATCCGGATACCACCGAGTCTGTTGAATTAAAATTTTCTAATTAGCGGGTCGGACAATTTTCTTACGACATCGCAATGAGGTTCGGCTTTTAGGAGGATTTTCTCGCATCTGAACAATTAATCTGCTGGGAAAATGTTCAAGTCATGGAGCAAGAAGAACAAGATCAAAGCTGTATTCAGGTTGCAGTTTCAGGCAACTCAGGTAAGGCGAAGAAAACTAAACTACTTTTCTTATTATTATTATTATTTTGTTTGCTTCGTTCTGTTATTGATCCTGAATTGTGGCTTGGCGTAGCGATTATGATTGAAACAGAATGCCTCTAAAATTTTGAAACGCTGTTGATGTAAGAGAAGTGGGAAAGTTATGTGGCAGTAAACAGATTCTAGAGGTAGCCTTACCTTATGGTGCTTCTCGTTTGTTTCAGGTGCCGAAGATGAAGAAGTCGGCGCTGATGATATCTTTGGTGCCAGATGATGTCGGGAAGCCGACGGTGAAACTAGAGAAAACTGCGGTTCAGGAAGGAACCTGTGTGTGGGAGAACCCGATTTTCGAATCAGTTAAACTTGTTAGGGATTCAAAATCAGGGAAATTACATGAGAAAATTTACCATTTCGTTGTTTCAACTGTAAGCAATAACTTTTTTTTTTAAAATTATTTTTTTGGTGGGAGGCCTTCACCTGATTAATAGTTGGTTTGAAAATTTAATCTTCCTTGTCACTTGCAGGGATCTTCAAAATCTGGCTATCTTGGCGAAGCTTCAGTCGATTTTGCAGATTTTATAGCAGAAACCGAACCACTGACTGTTTCTCTCCCCTTGAAGTTTGCTAATTCAGGTGCAATTTTACATGTTAGTATACTCTCTCCCTTCCTCATTATCTCACTCCTTGCGTCACTCTCAATGTGCACAATCACAATCTTACATAATTCATTCTCTTAATTTATAGCATATGTATGACGTTGTGGTCTTCTTAGTACTTAGGAGATTTGTTGACTTTCAAATCTAATAACACTATTCTATAGTGATATCAGATTACAAACATGAATAGTGATTCCTCACGTGCAAATTAATTGTTGAGACAGGTGACTATTCAGAATATAGAAGGAAATAACGAACAAAGGTGAACATAAACTACAAGAGCTTGTTGATTCAATTTCACATTTATCCTGTTAATTACACATCCCGTAACCATATATCTTGATTTCAGAAACGTGGAAGATGGAGCTCTGGAGCTTTACAATGATGGAAGCTTGAATCATCAACTCAGCTTTTGCAGTACAGATGACAATTCTTATAATGTTGAAGTAATGTTTCTTCCTATGCTTTATTGCTAGCAGTTTCTAGAATTGACAGTATAGTTGAATGGCCATTCCATAAAATTCAATTTCTTAGCTGATTGTTTTACAGGGTGGTCACTTGGCGAAGACCAGATCTGGTTATACTGAAGAAAATGCTAATCCTGAGCTAGCTTCATCGTTCAGACTGAATAACGGAACTGTTCAGGCCAGTGCTAAAGAAACCCATATGCGCAGGAGGTCAAACACTGAGTGGTCATTGGGTTCAACATCAGATGGAAGTTTAGGTGACTGGACAAACAGCCTTGAAGATAATCTTCCAAAAGATAGATTACGAGATCATTCAGATAATGCCTCTGAAAAGCTCAAAAGTGAAATTGCTTCTCTTAAGAGGCAGGTAGAAGTATCAGAACTTGAGTTAGAATCACTCCGAAGGCAGGTGGCAAAAGAAAGCAGTAGAGGACAGAATATGTCGGCACAAATAATCAGCCTCAGACAGGAAAGAGATGTGTTGAAAACTAAATGTGAACAGCTTGAGTCCGAGCAAAACTCCAATGTTGAGACCAAAACGACAAAAACCTTACAGTCTGATGTCACAGATGCTAGGCTTCAGTTAAAAGCAGTAAGGGAAGAGCTTGTTTATGAAAAGGAGCTAAACACAAATCTTCAATTACAGCTGCAGAAGACACAGAACTCAAACTCTGAGCTACTATTGGCAGTGGAAGACCTGGAAGCAATGCTGGAACAGAAGAACAATCAAATATCAGATCTCTCTTCCCATAGAAAGTCCCAAAATATTACCCGTGAGCCTGTTGACACCACAGAAGTAGATCTTTTGAAACAGAAGATTGCTGACCTGAATGGTGAAATAGACGCCTATAACAAGCAAAATGAAGAGCTAAACAAGGATATAGCAGAGCTCACATCGGAATATGAGCTTCTAAAGAAGGAAAACCTGGATATTTCTTTGAGATTGAAGCAAGAAGAAGCACAACAAATTATGTTACAGGATGAAAGCTCTACTTCTTTGGCTATTATACAACAACTTGAGTCACAAGTAGAAATATTAGAAGGACAGATAAAGCAGCAGGGGGATGATATTTCAGAATCTTTGGTCTATATCAATGAACTTGAAAGTCAAGTCAAGGATTTGGAGAAAGAACTGAAAATGCAGGCTGAGAAATTTGAAGATGATATGAATGCTATGAAATCTGAAAAAATTGAGCAGGAGGAACGGGCAAAACAAGCTGAGGAGGCCTTGAAAAAGACAAGACAAAATAATGCTATGGCATCTGAGCGTTTTCAGGAGGAATATAGAATGCTTTCAGTTGAAATGTCATCCAAAGTTGAGGAAAATGAAAGCATGACGAAGAGAGCAGTTGCCGAAGCTGATGAATTGCGACAGCAGAACAAACTAATGGAAGAAATGCTACAGAAGTGCAATCAGGAGCTCAGGCTTATCACAGATCAGAATGAGTTAAAACATCAAGAGCTCTTAAACCAAATAGACTTGAAAGAAAAATCCATGGAACAAATGTCAAAAGAACTAGAAAATAAGTCTGAACTGCTTGAAGAAGCACAGAAGCAAAGGAAAGAGAAGGATGAGGCTTTCTTTATTCAAATTCAGATGATCAGATCTGAAGTTAAAAAGCTGATGGCAGATGAAAATAAATTGACCAAGTCAACAGAGCACGGGACTGCAATAACAAAAGAACAAGAGCAGAAAAAAATAAATGATTTGGAGGAGACCCCGCTTAATGCCCTACTTTCAGAATTACAAATCTTCAAGACGCAACACAACAAATTAAAACATAGCATGCACAGTGAACAAATAGAGAAAGAGAGCATGAAGAACAAGATATCTCAACTACAAGGAGAGCTGAAGAAGAAGGAAGCGGAACTGAGCAATATGGAAAGGAAGATCAAGAACAACAAAGGACGAGCTCCAGCTCCACATGTGAATTTGAGTTCAAGTGTCAGAAAGACAAATTCAGAAAAACCTAAGGTAATTATCCAACTTAATTTTCAGACTTTAAATAAGAAACTAAAATGAAAAGTTTTTCTGGTGCAGTAGATCAGATTATATTATATAATCACCCACGCATGAGTATAGGCTACACATTAATGAAAAACAAGTCAAGCTTATACTGTCACATGGCCACTAGATGTTATGAAATCTAAATTATTATACTGGACAACATGAAATTGAAACAATTGGTGGGAACTCAGAAACTGCATGATGAAACAAGTTAGAATCAGCGGGGTAGTACTTCACAAGAACTGATACCAGTGTTTGACTAAAATTACCTGCTGCTTTTTATTTAGAGTATTTTTTTGAGCTAATTAATCAAGTCTTACTTCCAAAGCTACATGAGCCTTTTCATTTCTTACTCCTTATGCATGTCATTCTGCCCTACTTTACAGTACTATTATGTTTTACGAAACTGCTAATGAGGAAAGAGTGTAATCATCTTCATGACTGCATCTTGATCACAATGTGGTCTTTCCATATCTAAAAGCGCAAGGGTACATTTAACTGAAATAATGTTATTCCACTGGAAGGGATAAATTTCCTGCTTTGATTTATTTGATATTATCTATCATATTTTGCATAATCATGGCACAACTGGCATAATTTTAAATGGAAGTGCCTAAAAAATCAACTCCAAATGTGACTGAAACACAGTTAATCACGTTCAGAGAGAAGCATGCATATTTTTCATACGTTATTGGGACTGGAAGAGTAATAATGTTATAAACACTTTCTGTTGACTATACAACTATTAGATGACAAGGTCTGCAAGCTAGAGAACGAGGATCTGAAAAACTTGAATTTGAGCTGAAAGAAATTATCTGGTTATGGTCTCTTTAATTTTCTTTACACTTGTCTGTTCGGTAGATTAATTCAGATTAATTTTATTTTCATAAAGGGAACATATGCTACAAGCACTCCTAATGGCAAGTCAGCAGACACTGAAGTTTTTGTGAGCAGAAGGTAAAAATTAAATCAATTTCTATCTAACTCCCTAGTACCCCCGGTACATAGCTAACTATTAATCTTTATACCATTATTATCCTCGCAATAAAAATTGTACTCCTTGTGTCTCAGATGTCAAACCATACTAACATCTCATTGAGGCATGTGTTTTTATTTAATTGCATCTTTATTTTACTCTAACAGTGAATCAGAAACCTGTTCGGGAAATGAGGCTATTGTCTTCCATGATAATCAAAATGGTGAGTGCAATTCGAGTGGACTGATGGCTGAAGTGGCAATGCTAAAGGACAAGAACAAAAATATGGAAAAAGAGCTGAAAGAGATGGAAGAAAGATACTCAGAGATTAGTCTTAAATTTGCGGAGGTAGAAGGTGAAAGACAACAGCTTGTTATGGCTGTACGGAATCTAAAAAATGGAAAGAACTAAAATTCTTTCCAATGTTGTATCTTATCCCAAAACATACATGGGATTTGAAACTGATGGGAGAAGAGAACCAGCGTGGTGGAAGCAAGCTTAACCAGCACTTTGCTCTCTAGTTAATTTTTATCCAAGTTGGCTCATAAATATTCATGTATCTATGTTTTCAAAAAGGGATTGATAAAAAAGAATATGACCGAGTGCACAACGTATTTTTACACTCAGTTTCATTTTTTTTTTTTGGAGTCATTGTACATTCAATTTTGTGACGTGTTATGCGTTAACTAATATTTGTCTCATCTGGCAAGACTTGTTTAGCCATGCGGTCCAGTACTGGTCATAGTCCTTTCTAATGCAAGATGCCAAGGCACAACATTGGAGCCTGATATTGACTACGTAGTAAAGGATTAATCGTGTAGTAAAACTTTAGACAAATGGGACATGATATTCACAAACATTCGAATCATAGTGGGAAAAGAACAACCAAACTATTAGAAGTAAAAACTGATTGTGCGTAATTCAATTTTAAGAGTAGGATCCAGATTTAAAAGTAGGATTGTATGTTTGGAAATGTTAAGAGTCAATTTTTATGGTCGTGTTGGTTAAGCTGGTGGTTAAATTGGTCATGTAATAATTAAATAAAAGTTAAATAAAAAATATTAAATGCATATATTAAATTTCTGGTAGGTGGTCAAATCTGCACTCTCGTCAAGGAAGCTTTCTAAAACCCGATGACTATTAAGCAGATTAACCAAATCAATATAGGGCTTATCCTGAAAACTAAGACTGCAACTTTGTTTAGAGATATGTGCCTGTCACTCATTGTAATGTGAGTTTGAAGATTATCACCAAACTGACAGCAAGTCATTTTCAATCTTTCATGAGCAAGCTGGTTGTACCACAACAACGTAGCTCCATCTCGGGGCGTACTAGTTGTGACAACATCATTGGCTCCCAGAAAGCTATTCACTCTATGCAAGACTAAAACGAGACGGAAAGGTTATGTGGTAGTAAAGGTTGATATGAATGAAGCTTATGATTAGTTGGATTGGGCTTCCTTGAGCAAATGCTTGTTGACTTGGGGCTTTCTAATCATTTCATTGGGATTATCATGGCCCATGCCAATATGGCCTTGATGTAAGTACTATGGAATGGAGAATACAACCCAATTTTCTCACCTACGAGTTCACCAAGGTGATGTAACATTTAGAGTTTAATCTAGAATTTATTTCTAATTAAAAAAATAGTTAAAAATAATGAGTAATTAATTTAATCATGTTATCGAGTTGTTAATTGATGTTTTGGATCATTGGATAGCTCCAAAATTGAGCTAGGGTTGAAGTTGGATCGGATTAGGATAAGATAGCTTCATACAAGTGAGATTGAGCTCACAGTGTATTATCTCGTGGCATAAATATATTATGCCGCAGCGTAATGCCTAGTTTTGAAAATAAAAGGTGCGTAAATTAGCTTGAAATTTCATATGAAGAATTAGTGAAAGTGGGGAGCATGAAGGGTGATCTTGGGTGTAACTTCCCCCAATATCCACCACATATTAGGAGAAGTTAACATAATCACCCCATACATACCAAACTAAACAAGTAAATTTTAGTTGAAAATACTTGGGACCCAAGACTTCTTTGATAAAATAGTTTGAAATTAAGCACACACTACACCCTACACAACAGAAGACAAATCACTACATTCATCACATCCAATACATAACTTAAAATCAAAGAAACAAAGTCTGGAATATGGATATGCATTACGACATATGGCATAGAGCCATGGGCTCTTTCCTTTGTGTCATGTACCACGGCGTGTTGCATCATGTGCCGTGGTGCACAATAACAGATTTTACTGTCATATGATAGTTCATAGAAGCGAATATTTGGTGTGCATTGTTTCCATGTATGATGTCCAATTGAAGCGATTCAAGTGCCCACACGAATCTTATTTCATAAGCTAGCTCTAATGGTCCAATCTAAATTTGGGCATTCAAGTGCAAAAAGTTACTTTTCTTGAAAATTTCACTTATTAAAGTGCTCAAATCACACACTTTGTCTCATTTAGCTGTTTTGAGCTTAGAATTAAGTCCGAAAGGATCCAATATACCTGATTGACCACAATTCACATCATATATATATATACAAATCAAGTTTTGGCCATTTAATCGCTTATTTTCCACGATAGGAGCTATTTCCACAATTTAACATGAAAACATTCTTGGCCAAATCATTTCATAATTTCCTAACAAGATCACCACAAGTTCACTGCTTAGTTGCCACACATATTCACATCATAATCACACCTACATTCATAGCTCAGTTCATATTTCATCATGTTATGCATTCTTTGGCAACTTAAATGATTTACAATATTCACAAGAAACTAAATTCATTTCACAAACTCTGATTTTGCATAGCTTTAACAATGCTAAGCTAGCCCTAAGTCTTTCCTTTTACCCAGCTTACTATTTTGACCTGTAAAATGTAACCATGGGGTGAGATAATAATCTCAGTAATAAAATAACTCACTACTACTATGACAAGTAACCATAAGCAAGTATCAATTTAATATATATATATATATATATATATATATAAACATAGCATTAAACATAAGTTCATTTCATAAAACCATATTTCACCACGATTTATCTCTTTCATTAGTATGATTACTATCATCCGAACCTTTAAATCATCCTGACTTAAAACTATAGGCTCGCCTTAGGCCAATATACACCTTCATTCACCCTGAGCACACCTTCAGCAATAAAATCACTAGGGCAAAGGCGTTCTATCTCACTTTTAGACTATAGTTTCCCCTATTACACACATAATGAGGTGTTGTTGGCTCTAACACCACATCACACTAATACCAAAGAGCTTAGATCTTTAACACCACTTCATGGACACTAAGGAGATAATCTGCAACACCACACTTTAATAGGTACTAAGGGGATGAAAATTGTCCAACATTGCATTTTGTCAGGCACTAAGGAGAATAATACTATATGGTCTTTTTGTACTTCTTGTAACATCCTGAATTTTTAATACTACGTTAATGACTGATTAGGAATGGATTAGTGATTTAATATAGGATTAGGATTCTGAGTAGTGAAGTGTTATTTTGACCTATTGGGATGTTATATGAATAGATACGAGCAAAAGTGTGGAATCCTGAAGAAAACATGTGAGCATAGTGAAGATTTTTCTCACTGTGCCACGCACCACGGCTGGGGATGGATGCGCCATGGCACATAGTACAGAATATTGATTAATAGGGACGTGCCAACTAATGAAAATAGAAAGGGAGAATATGAGAGGAGAGGTCTAGCATGGAGAAGAACAAGGGATGTGTTAAGGCAAGCATAAATAGGAGCAAAGAGGGTATTTCTAAACTGTTACTTATTGGGTAAGTTATGTACTGCCTTAACCTCCAATCCTACCCTATTTTCTCTTAGTTTTAACCTGTGAGAAATTAAATTCAGGATTTTTAAGGAGTTAATTTCTTACCCTATAGTAATAGAAAGGTTCTTCGAAACTAAACTAGTGCTTGATAATTGGTTTAAGTCAAAACGATAAAGCTTAGAAGCTATAAGCAAGATTTTCCCCAATCTAGAGAGAGAGTAGTAAGAGAAAATTGTTAGAAAATGTTAAAGCTTGAAATGAAGGGTAATCAGTGGTAAAGCATGTAATTGAATGTAAAATATGGATTTGATAATGATTAGGTGATTAAACATGACAATTGGCACTTTTGTTAATAGTAAAAATTGACTTTGGGTTACCAATTTTATATAGATTTTAGTACGTGATGCACTAATTATGAGAAAGGAGCTTGAATAAGGTTGTTTGGAAAATGGTAACCCTTTCTAGTAAATAAAAGGGTTGAGGTAACTATATAGTTTATTATGTTTATTAAGTATTGTAACTGTGTAGAAGTAAATACAAAGTGATAAATTAATGTTTTAAGAGTTTTATGCATGATTTGTTATTGAAATGTTTTTAGCATGTACAATGGTTTGGGAAATGAGATTTGAAATGTTATTTTATTTCAAATGATATATTTATATATATATATATATATGATGTGAAAGTATATGTGTGGAGATATGGATAAATAGTGATAATTGTGAAAGAGCATGATCATAGGGGTTGGGAATTGACTCAGGATGAGTGGGGATATGTGTGTGTGGAGATATGTGAGTGAAAAATTTATATAGTCGGTTCGACACCATGGGACATCCAGTGTAGCATTACGTGGGCTATTACCATGGATAATTCGGTATAACATATTATGGGATTGTTACCATAGGATATTCGGGTAGTCTGGCAACTCTCTAGTACTCGATAGGGTGCAGTTAGGAGTCAACAATGCCTTTCTCATAAGTGTGTGAAGATGGAAAACCATAGTCCGTAGGTGAGTTAGATTACCTTTGGCCAGGTGTTTTTACTATCGAGAGTGTGCTTGGGTCAACAAGTAGTTGATCCAGGAGAGCCTATGATTTCATGTCAGGGAACATTGGAGGTGTGGTGGCTAGACGATCATCCTAGTGTGTATTTGTGTGGAAATACTCTTAAAAAGATGACATTTCTTCATACTTTGATATATATGTGATATTACTTTATTTTTGTTACTAGAGCATGGTTATATTGTGGTAATAGGCATTAAATGAGCTATATTGGTTACTGAGATTTTTATCTCACCTGTGGTTATTATATTTTTCAGGCTTTGGTGCTAGTAGACTAAAGGGAAAGGATATAAGTTGAGTTGGCATCTCTCACCTAAGTCTTTGTAAGAGTTGGTGTAATGAATTTGTGGTTAGTAGTAGTAAATATGTATAAGTTGCCGTAGGATTCAAACATGTGTATAAAGTTATATTTGTGGTATGTTTTGATGATTTGAAGTTCCCTAACTCTTGTGTATGTGTAGAAGATGACATGAATGGATGAGCTAGTGGATGAATGCATATGTGTGTGAATATGAGTTGGTTGAAGAGTATATGTAGTGATTTGGCCTTGTATAGGATTAAAGAAGTGAAAATGTGTTTTTGGCCTAAAGTGTGAAATGGGCAGTTTACAGGCTAAATATGTGTATGTGTGATATATTGTGTATGTGTGTGGTTAATCAGATCTGTATTGTTTATTTGGATATGGTCAAGGCCTAAAAAGTAGCTAATGATAATTGGTTTCGAATTGAGACATTAAGTGGCAAAATTTTGCTAAAAAATGGTCAAATTTCACTTTAGTGTCTAATTTTTGATAGAGATATCAGATTGAAATGAAACTAGTATTATTAGTTAGATTTCAAAATAAGCCTTGTGTGGGCCCTTGAACCATCTCAATCAGACGTCATATGTGAAAATGACACGCATCTAAATTTC